CGCGCCACGCCACTCAGCTCGGCTCGGCTCCTCCCCGCCACGGCCCACAGCACAAACAGGAGGGAAGCGGAATTTAATCTCCCTTAATTGGCGGAAATAAATTAATGCAGAGGAGTTAGACACCCAAAGACGTGTCAATCAACAATAAGAGGCGTTTGAGGCCTTGTAGAAGGAACGGCGGTTGGCAAGGCGGCTTTTGAAGCGCCTGACTGGTGCGAATACGCAGGGAAGAAGACTGAAAGGTAAAAGGAGATGACAAAGAACAAATTGGGAAAAACGAAAGGCAATGTGTCGACTATTGGTGCTAGCAAAGAGTTGAAGGAAAGAATATCGTTGCCTCGACTGAAACGGAAAGAGCTAGAAGAACGTGTTAAAGTACAAATAAAAAAGGGTTAGGACAGTGTAAGGGCAGAAAAAGAGAGACTGTGCAGTATGATGTAAGGAAAAGGGAACAAGGTTATTACTGTATGTAGAACGGAAGGACTGACTTGTTAAGCAAACACTTTTTTTAATCCCTTTGTCTACAATTACTAAAAACATGTAAACATTGTTTAATGGCTTCGAAGAAAACGCCTAAAGCATCCAGATCACACAAAATGGTTTTCCAAGAAGTAGCACACACACTATTCAAATATAACAATACTCTCATTTAACAAAGAAAAAATATTTTAACAAAAACACTGTACACAAATACTGCAGCACCATAGTATAATACGTACAGGGCAACAGTTTATTTCGCATTATATTAAAAACTTTCATTGCATAATGCTGCAGGTGAATAACAGATAACTGTCGGGCGGTGGCTTCCTTGGGGCTTGGCATGCACGACGTCAGCTGTGTCTTAGGCAGTGACGCACTGAGTACGAGAATTCAGTCGGTAGACGAGAACGAAAGCGAGAATAGGCGAAAAAACATAGTTAAATATTCTCATCCTTCAGTCAAAACCAATTTTTTTGTTATTTAAGGTCGCATCAACAGCTAAGTTATTAGCAACCACCATTGCATTTAACGGTATGGTAACTGACATGATATAGATGACATGATATGATATGATGATAGGGGGAGAAAGGACGAACAGAAATATGCTCGAGAAGGGACTCGAACTCGAGATCCTTCGGTCCAAGATCGCTACGGCACTATTGCCTCAACGATCTCGGTCTTTTTCTACATATTCCTGGGAATATAAAGAAACTATAGACATCTCTCAGAAGTCTGGAGATTACGTAGTTTTTTCTGCGTGAATTGTAAATAAGGAATATAAATAATTTTAAATATACAAATCGTTTAACAGTTAAGAGAAGTTGTTTACCGTATCAATTTTAAGCTAAATCAAACATCCCTTCAAATCACAAACTGGAAGCTCAAAAAACAGACATCAGAATGAACACCTGATAATGAAATGAGCTTCCGTAGAGTGCAACCCGGGATCTCTTTGGAGTGGGCAAACCCACTCCAAAACTGCACATCTTCAAAACGAGAATCTGAGTAGGGATAAAACGCAGTCACGGTCATTTTCAGTACGTTTCCAAGAGACAGTTTGACAGATCAAAACACGCATCATGAACAATCAGAAAAATTAATATCATGCGATAAATACGTGTTTAAAATCAAAAACAAAATATGACATGTTAACAAAGAAACCATTACATCAAAAGCATTTATTAAGAAAGTCAATGGCTTTGCCGTCTTCCTGTGGACGAGCTCCGCCGCCGGAGTGGCGCGTGTGGCCCAAGAGGTGCGGTGTCACCGCAGCGTCTGCAGGGCGCCGGGACCCCGTCCGTAGCCGTAGCCCACAGGTCCGAACCGCTGCATCCCGCACGCTGCACGGCATTTGGGACAGGGTCTCACAATCGGACGGATTATATGCAACAGGGGCCAACTAATCCCTTTCTCCAGAAATAAAGACCTTAATGCATTTACGAGCACGTGCGCTTTGAATAATGTGAGATAAAAAGTTTCTCGAAAACTCAATAGCTTTCTGTAAAAATTTATTTATCTTTATCTTATTTATCTTTATCTTATTTATCTTATTTTATTATTTATCTTATTTCCAGGACGTTAGTGCTAACAGAAACTTTTTTATTATTAAACTTCTTTACACTGCGGATTAGCGCGTTACAAGAGATTTTTAATATTAATAATATAATTCTAACTTGGCGTCAGCCTTAACGAGGTCCCTCTTATTGTTGTCCTCAATTTCAATTTACGATTTATGTGTTTGGGGTGATTTGGAGGAATGATAAAGGTTATGAATTAATATCATTAGGTTAGAAAAAGAAATGAGTCATTATGATGGTCTAAATTTATCCTTGGTGAATCTGGTTTAATTCTCTTTTGGGCGTAGGATTTTTCTGGTCAGATATTACTTGCGGCTGGAGAATATGGTAAGGATTGGAAAAACGTATTGGAAAGTTTGAAAATGAGTTGGGATGTTGTGGATAGATCAGAATCTCTAACGGAAACTGGGAGGCTAGTAAAAATCTCACAAAATAATGCCATTGAAGGAGTAAAAAAATGAGAATAATATTTCTGAAATATGCTTAATTCAAAGTAACAAAACAAGAAGGAAGAGCAAATGGGTAGGTGCAAAAGACAGAAGTTGAGAAAGTAGAGTGGAAGCAGAACGCGGTGTATCCAAAGCAGGGCAGTGACGTGTTACAGTCTGGAGTAAGCGGGCCAGAGAGACACAAGATCAAAAGTCGAAAGCTCTCTAGAAACAAAGAGGCTACCAACATATTTGAAGCGAGGTACTTCACGTACGTTTGCAGAAGACTTCTCCTCGCCCCTCGTACATGGTGATGACCTCCAGCGGTTTCCGACATGCTCGGCACGAGAAGCAAGATGTGTGGAACACGCCTCCAGACGCCAGGATTCGTTCTGCGTAATACACCGTCTTTCCTGTCGAGAGATTAATCGCCAAAAGTAGCAAAGAAGTTTTTTTTTCTTTATTAATGTCAATGGCTTCTTTCACTAATACGTATTGAATACTCAAGAAACTACATTAAAGTGAAAGACGTGAAGTATTTCAATTAGTTTTTGGAAAGAAGGCTGTGGACACAACAAGAACTATTTTTGTGACTGGTCATTAGTTGTAACATGAAAAAATCCTACATGGACATGAAACATGAAAAAGCATGTAACAATAAAAAAACAAACATTAAATATTGGTCATGATTGTGTTCTTCATTGTCCTACGTCCTTACACCACATCAAACCTTTCCCATCTTACCAAAGACTTCAAACTCAAAGTAATTTTTTGTGGTTGTTAATACATTAGGCAGTCAATCGCTCCTTATTCAAACGTCCAATGATGAATAATTTACAGATCATTAATCATAGAAAAAACTTCGATTCAATAGCTTTGTAAAAATCAAATAACTTTTAAAATTATGTCATGAAACTAACAGAAGTTTGAACTTTCGTGTCATTTCCATCAAGATCTACATTTACTGACTTACCATATTGGCTCACTAGCCTTGACTCACTACCCTACGATAGTACCCTACGTTAAAATCATATTTTCAATACTGTCGCAATCCCAAGTTGCAATGCTGGGGCAACCCTCTGTTAAGTTCTGACTTTGGTCCAACACTGAAATGTTATAAAGTCAGAGACTCAAAAAAGTTGAAAAAACACAATATCCTTCGAACAATAAACGTCTGGGTTGCATTTAACAGTAGCACCCCCTTTCCAATAAAAAAAAGAGGACATTTCACCCTATTTTGTAAAATCCACCCGGATAATTATTCTTAGTTCAAAACGAGGACATGTCCGGACAAAAGAGGACGTATGATAA